CTTCCTCTCTTATATCCAGAGTGAATGGGGTGATTCTGTTCGGAAGTTCTGTCCTCCCTTTTCAACCTTGTCAATAATAATTGCTGGAGTTGTGAGGGGGGAAACAAGTACGTACTGGACTTCACCTCATAATTTTGAGTGTTCCATAATAAAATAAAGTTATACAAGTGCTATTTAAAAGATTACCCATTGCAAATCTACTTGAATGAAGCTACTACAAGGCTTTTTTCTATACAGAGGGTTAATAGAAGCGTCATTACCCAGTGATTGCTGTTCAAGACATCCGTCTCACACACAACCCATCCACATAAAAAAGAACTGTATTATGGTGAAGTATTCTTTCCATTTCTTTTGATCAGCACTGTTGCTTATGTAACTAAAATATCAACCATACACAACAAAGAAGCAAAAGTGGAAAAGGAAATACTATCATGGGGGAAGGAAAACAACAATAAAGGATGTGCAGGCTGGCTGATTACTGAAACCGATAATGAAAAAATGAGGGGAAATGGAATGGGGTACTAGGAGTTCTGAACAGAAACGCACCATGCTGCATTGTTTAAAAAGCAATACAAATGATGCATCTGTGTGTTTTGTATAAGCTATAAATTAATCTTCATGGAAATCTCAATGAGAGTTATGATGTTTATATTTAATTCTGACAAGGTTTTCCTAGGACATGAAGTTGGTTCTTTATCCTTGCTGTGAGGGAAGAATGTTCATAATCAGATGACTAAGGCATTAAAGCAAGCTAGACTTAGCTAGATAATACCCGCCCCCTCCCCAACCTAATCTAGCCCCATTGTTCATGCTGATTCACACAATAATCATATGGCAAAGATCTGACTGGGTTACAGTAAAAAATGTGTGGTCTGTGGAGGTGCTGAAACCCCAAAGTCTTCTCAGACAACACATTGTTTTCAAATTCCCTTTACTTTACTTACTCATTTTGCCGCACACATCTCCTGATTTCCCCTGTCCCCCTCTCCCAATTCTACTTCCCTTTCTGACTCCCAAAAATCATCCCAACTGATTCTGCAGAAGACATTCCCCATTTTTAATTAGCAACAGCAGGAGAGGAAGTGAGCATGTATAGCAAGAGAGAGAATTTCTGTTCCTGCTGCTCTCAGTGAATAATTAGAAAGAAAAGACAGAAATAGGTTTGTGAGCTGGAGATGGTTTGAAGAACTGTGGAGGGCACAAAGATTTTTAAAAACCTGCCAATCATTTTATTAATTTTATAACACTTCCTGTATGCATGTTTGATCTATTATATCTGTTCATTTAAAAAAAAACATGCATTTGTAATATAAGTTTACTGGGCAAAAGTTTGGTCCCAAAAGCCAGGCTAGAAAACCACTAAATAGGATAAAAAAATGAGGCTGCAGTACAAACCTGTGTAGATAACATTAACGGGGATCACACCATCCCTAGTTAATATACCAATTTAATTTATTATAAATGTAATAGAAAAGTGTAGCATCAATCAACAGGTCTGAAATACAAGTACTTAGGAGCAATAATCACAGCTTGTCCTCTGTAATTAATATCATTGTACTAGCTCTGGAAAATGAATGGGGTGAATGCATAATGTACTGTGATGTTAAGGAAATAGATTAATTGGAGCTGTCTCGTATGTTCAGGTTCTGGGCAAAAAAAAATTGTCAGAGTCAGAATTATAAGCAAAATGCTATAATAAGGAAATATGTGACAAGGAACTATGAATTCTTGATGACATAAAAACAGTGTTCCGGATTCAAAGGACATAGTGAAGTAGATGTTAACAATCTGTAACCCTAAGAAGAAATACATGTGCTTTTTGAGTCTACAGGGATGCTTGCTTACCATATAGCATGCCACCATAGGTAACATGTGCAACTAGCAATCCATGAAATCTCATTTTTGGCCTGAAGTTTTGATAATAGTCCTGATGGAATATTATTTGGATCTCTAAAGCAAAGCACTCATTCCACCAGGATTCACAGCTATCTCAATCACCACCAAGGACTAAAGGTGCATACAGCTAAGCCTTGCTGCTACAACAGCAATATTATTTGTTGCAAATGAATGTTTGTCCCTATGCTGCCTTTTTTCTGGTCATGATCAACACTTTGATACATATTCAGGTAACTATTCTTAGAGGAATATTGATTCTACAGTTCCTCACCCTGCATGATAATTATGTTTACAGTACAGTACATACTATTGAGTCTGTATTTTGTTTCTTTTTATGTGTCAAGAGGCGTAACATATTTATGCCCAATACTAATACTATTTGGAGGACAGATTAAAACTTTCTTGTTCTTCCAACATTGCTATACATCTACACAGATATATGACATATTTCAGAATTATTTGTATACCAATAGAACAGATCTGCTTACCACATATCACCCAATTAAAATAAATTAGGTCTCCTAAACAGTAACCATTTCATTTACAATGAGCAATGCTTGGCCACCAGAATCTATTGACAGAATAACTACTAATTCTGGATTAAACCAGAAAGTAATATTATTATCACATTGCATGGAGGAGGGCAAGACTGAACTGTGGTTGTGTACGAATAGAACAAATGCCTCCCTGCCTCCTACATTATAAGCTCTAGGATTTAATATATCAAAATGTTCTATTACCAAGATCCTATTGCCATTGGTTCAAGCAAAAAGTAATATGCAGGTCTTTTTTCTGTTTTCCACATTTGGGGTATAGAAGAGGAGAAGAAGGAAGAGGTAGAAGAAGAAGAGGAGGAATGGGGAGTAAAAGACTGTTAATTCTGTTTTTAGGCTAAAAAGATTTCTTTTTGAACTGTTTTTCTTACTGGAATCAGGAACATATATAGGAATCTTCTAGACCCCACATCCCATTTCTCAAATGGTCAAAAAAATCACAGGGGTAACACTCTGAAAAACTGACCAGAAGAGGAAGGAAAAAACCTCCTTTGTCCAGGCTTGTGCTCAAATTTGTACCTAATATTTACATGGAATCTTGATTTGGGGGTAAGAATTAGTTGGTGCAGAGAACAGCTTATGCTTATTCATTTTTCTTGAATAATACCCAAGTTTCTGAATTTACAGGAAAGGGTCCATGCTTTATTTAATAAACCATAAATGAATGAGTGCATATATCAATTGGCTGGTTTCATATATTGTGCTAAACCATAAATTATTGTTTACTGACCTCAGTAAGTAACACAAACAAGTAAAACATATTATGACTTAGCACAATATGTGAGTGAAGCCAACATGTAAGCATTTTTAAAACAAAAACAAATAAACATAAAAACAGGAAGGATTGATTGAGCCATGATATTCTTGCCTAATCATCCTCTGCATATTAAAAACAAAGGTCTAAAGTAGTGAGTCTCTTGAAATAATCAAATAATGTTGTAGATAGTACCAGTAGGCTTCCCACTTTTTACTTTTTTACTACCAAGCATAAGGATGATCAAGATGATTGACAGCTATCTTCCAATAGTATTGGCACATCCCTATTTCACATGTGAGGTCTAGAATTGAATAGGCCAAGATATTCTATGCCTAATAATGTCTTTGGAGAACCATATGCCCAAGCTCAATAAAAGGGCCCAGTCTTCTCTTCAGATATAATTCCCAATATTTATATGAGGAATGCAATATATCAAAAGCACATTGATGAGATCAGATATTAATCTCAAATAGCTGTCAGAATAAATTCTATCAACATAAGCCTTATCATTTATATGCTCCTATATCTCAAAGGGACTATTCATGACTACAGAAATATTATTTATAATTGTCCCTTCAAATCCTAGATGAAATCTACTAATTCAGCTCATGTCAGTGGTTCTCAACTGGCAGAGTTTGGCCAGATTCTAAGGCAGTCTTGTTTATTACCAAAGAAAAGAACCAGGTTAGGTATTCTTATGGCTCACTAGATGTTCTCTACCTTCCTGCTTTTTCAGATATATCTAGGCATTCTGCAAATAAGATCATTTGTCCATCTAGCATTATTATTCATCCACATTCACAGGGGACATGTAGGGTTCCAGTCAGGGGTCTTTACTCTTTTCTATCTCTCAAATACATTCAAGTAGAAAAACTTCATTCAAGTAGATTGAGCCTATCTATATGCAAGACATGTGCTCTGCCACAGAAGTTGGCCCCTTTCCACTGGGATGTAGAGAATTTCTAGTGGAGGACCGAGAAAAGAGGTTTATAATGGTGGCAGGTGGGAAAATTGATGAAGGGAATGGGGAGGACAAAATTATTTGTGTAAACATTTAAAAAAAGAAAGAAATTAAAAGCAGAAATTCTTCAAAGAGGCATGAAAAACTCTATCAATCTTATGGCCTTGGAAGCTACGAAATAGCTTGAAGTATGACTGTATACTATAGATTGCTAGAGCTGCAGAACAGAAAAGTCTGGAGGTTAGGAGGCAAAAGGAAAAACAGATATATATTAAAAAAGGAAGAAACATTGTAAAATCAGTGCGTTTCTTATCAAAATCTCATTGCAATTGTGTCTCAACTAAAATCACACTGTAGTTCCAAATAATGTATCAAAAAATTAATCTGGGTTGTTTCTATTGTTTCCTTGTTGTTTCATCAACATGATGTTAACAAAACAAAGACTTGTGTCTTATATTGCTTTTAGCCCTGTCCTGGAATTCTGCTCTAAATCTTGATAACCCTCTCATAGAACCACAAGCCCCATGTTTCCTCAGATGTACGTCATAACAATTGTGCTATTGATTGAATAGTGTATTCTACACATTTTCATAATTCTGTTGAAAAGATGGGCATGAGGTTAACAGTATATTATCTTTTTTTAAGGTCATCTTCTAATACAATATAAAAAATAGCCAACATCTCTTTGATGCAAGAACATTCATGGGTAATCTTGGGCCTTGAATATCTATTAATAAAATAGTTATCACAAATATTTTCCTTTAACAACCAACCGAGTCCTGAATTCCCACCAGAAAAAATGGTAATATTGAATAGCCAGAATCTGTTCATCTCTTATTAAGAAGTTGCAGCTGTCATTTTATTAAGTTTACACAGCAACCAAAATTGGTCTAAAAAGAAATGAATGAAGGAAACAGACTTCATTCATATTTCATATAGCTCTGCTTGACAGTTGTGGAGTGAAAAGAAAACAAGAAAAGGATATCTAGAACTAACAATAAATTAGCCTGATCTGCTCAAATCCTTCATTTCTTACTTTCTACCATTGCAATTTATAGATTCACATAGATGGTGGGGAGAATATTATTCAGTACAATTACAAGAGGCAAGCATTCATACATTTCCTTTTTTTTTTTTTTGCAAGTCTCCATATCTAAAGCTAGATTCTTAGATATAAGTACTTAGTTATAATGTATTTCCTGATCATAATGGCAAGTTCATACAAACTTTTCAGGCCAGAGCACAGAAGGGGGGGGATACCATGAACTCCCCCCCCCAAATTAGCCAGCTTCAAAAGCTTTACCAAGATTTATCAAGCGCCAGGTTGAAAACCAAATAATTTGAGAGGTTCCAAACACTGGTGATAGTCTGGCAGCTGGATTTCTAAACTAAGCAGGTACTATCATTACAAGGCATTTAGAAATGGAAAGCCTGTTAAAACAAAACCTAAAAATTAAAAACTGCATGTCCAGCATATCCCAGAAGGAAAGGCAGTCCATGTTTTAAAATGCCTTATATTTGGATTTTGAAAAAACACCATACAGGAGAGCCCTATTGGTTCCTAGGTTATTATTTAAACTATGGCTCTTTTCTTTGCACTTTCTTCTGATTTTTACCAATAAAGAGACCACGTAGAGCTCCCTGAGAGGTTTTCACTGCTGTCTTTACACAAAACATTACTTCTGGTGGACATTAGTTTACAGGCATACTGCCGAAGGGAAAAACTGATGCCTCTCTACTTCAGAGCACCCTGGAACAGGTTCTCCCAAGAAATTTAACACTTCTCTTCAGCAGCTCTCTCAGGACTGCTGCTAAGGGATGCTATGCATCCAAAAGAAGCTGCAAAAGATGCAGCTCCTCTCCTCTTGGCTGTTATTGACTCTTCATATAACTATAGGCAGGAGAGCTCTTGAGGGGTCCGATTGAAACTTTCTTTCTATTAATACACCAGCATCACCAGAGCTACACAAAAGCAGGCTCAGAAAGAAAGTGGGTGCCAAACAGGGACATCAATACATTTAGACCATTGAGAAGCTCACATCAAGATTTCTCTTTCAGGTTCTGTGCAGCCCTTTAATTTCTCCACTGACTGGGGCTGATGTATACTATAAAAAGCCATCTCTCCTAGCAATCTCTCAAGATTCTGTGGTATTGCTAACCGAGAAACTAAAGAAATGAGGATGAAGGAAAGAATATCAGGCACTAGGCAGGCTGCCTGAGTTGTTGCTTGGTGGCTGGCAAAAGCAAGCATGAGCTGGCCAGGAGGCTCTCAGCCAGATAGAGAGCTGAGATTGAGACAGCATGGGCATGTGGGCAAGTGAAGCACTGAAGTACAACTAGCTGCTATATGCATATATTTCCGACGCATAAGGCTGTGCTGCGGCATCTTGAGTGTATATTATACGCAGAGGTTTTTCCAGCCTGGCAAGATGGTAGGTCGGTAGGTCTAATGGACTGGCAGCAGCAGATCATTATCTAGCAGCAGACTTGCCTTCTTGGAATACCTGTTTTCCTTTGGTTCCTGGAGTATGGGTTTTCCCTTTTGGTCCTTTTCTGAGCATACCTGGTGACACGGGAATATCTCCCAATAGACCTAAAGCCTGAGCCCTGGATGGAGCTTTGGGAGAAGACTGAGCCCATGGAGGAAATGTGGTCCCGGGCCTATGCGGTCGAGATGGTGATGGGCTTTCCTTTCTGGATAGGCTTTTGGGGGAAGCACTGAGGTTTCGTGGAGGGAGAACAGGGCTTCTAGCTGGAAGATGGGAGGCTTTCCTTGGGCTGCTCTTCAAGGAAGGTGTAACAGGAGTCGGGGTTGCTTTCATCCGGGGATCACCAGATATATTCCCACATGGGCTTTGCCCCTGAATCCTGCAAGAAGAAAACATGGAGGAAGAGCAATGTTTTGTAACCAGGTCACAACAGGTATCTTGCTCTAAAACTTTACAACATCACATGACAGAAACAAATAGTCTGTAACAGGTTAAAAGTAAACATATGGTGGCCAAGTGCTACCACACACCACAACAAACAAGAGGACAAGTTAGGCTATCAACATACTCAGTCACAAGATTTTATAACTAAGTCCTAATGCATTTTTTTTTTTTTTTTTGCAGTACCAACTTCATATGTAACAATAGCAAGGCTATCTCTTTCATCATGTATCTTGTGGGAGTTGAACAATGTACCCAAGCCCTGATGCACAGATGTATGGTTCTTTCTCCTTCAACAAAAGAGAACAAAATACTGACATGGCAGTATTCAAAGTGATATCAAAATAGCAACATGCATGCAGAGATATCATCATAGAAATACAAAAAATACTAGGCTTTTGGATTCTAATGTCTATTGTTAGTGTGTGATTCACATTTACACTATGACATGGTTATGTATATTTTGTCATTCTTGCCTTCTCTGTGGATACCCATATTTGGATATGTTTATGCAGTGCTTGCTTCAGCCAAGATGTTATTTGCATGGTAGAGGTGAGATGCTGGTTATGTTTTTGCAGGAACAACATTACCTTTGCTGAAAGTCACATAAACCAAGCATATAAGCCACTTGTGTTAAAGAAGCAAACACTACATACGGAGCATTTAAAGGTAGAAAATTTCCATTAATATACTGGTTTCTTTTATTTTCTAATTGACTGCCTTGTAAAGTATATATTATTTGGAAGAAAGACAGGATACACATTAAATGAACAAGAAATAGATTTTTCTTTCCTTGTTGGAAGGGCATAATAACTAAGGTAGACTGTCAATCAGTTATAATAATAATTGATAGATATTGATCTTTGTCTGGGAATTCTTTCTCTTACTCATACTTAATACAGGCACTCCTCAATTTACAAGTACAATTGGGGCCAGAATTTGGATGTTGAGCAAAGTGTCAAGGCTGCTAACATCGGATGTTCTTGCTTGACGATATATGAAGAAGCAGATATTCTCTATTTAATCTGTGTATTACTTCTAGAGCTAAAGTTAGATAGTGTTGGAAGGGAGGGGGGAAAGAATGTACTTGGGAAATAGTTAGCCATAACAATATGAGCCGAGGTGGCGCAGCAGTTAGAGTGCAGTACTGCAGGCCACTTTAGCTGACTGTGTTCAGCAGGTCAGCGGTTCAAATCTCACCGGCTCAAGGTTGACTCAGCCTTCCATCCTTCCGGGGTAAGTAAAATGAGGACCCAGATTGTTGGGGGCAATGTAAATATATATATACATTGCTTACTAGTGTACACCGCTTAGAGAGTGCTTGCACTTAAAGTGGTATATAAGTTTCATAAATAAATAAATAAATAAATTTCAGTACAGTATTTCTCAAGGTTAGTTGTAACCAGAGGAGATACGGGAGGGAGAGTTCACACTTCAAACTAATTGGAGAACGTGATTGATGACTGTTAAATGAAGGAGTGAGTTATGCTTTGTTACGGGTGATTAGGGGGAGGAGATTTCAGATTTTGGCTTCATTATGTACATGCCGAAGCTATGTAGCAAGTAAAAAGATTCTTTAAGGAAAACAATGCCTCAAAGTTCTTTGAAGAGCTTCTACTTTCGGAACCATGACACAAACCAGCTGTTAAGTGAAATGTGCACATGACCACTTAGCTCAGACATCAAACTCATGACATCACGTGACATCACGCGACGTATCAGAGCTTTTTCTCCATTGCCAGCAATAGGGTGGGCGCGGTTTCCTCATGACGCATCCGGCCTGTGGGCTGGCAGTTCGACACCCCTGACTTAGCTCAACAATTGCAATCCCAGCTCTCCCAGCTGAGATTGTTAAGCAATTGCTCAGGTCATTAAACAGAGCACTGGGGATAAGAGCACATGATTTGGAGAAGGGACCTTCCAAACTTATCACCCGAGCTATCGGGTTCATTAGTTTTACTAGCCTAGGAAAGTTAAAAAAACAGTGAACAAAATATTCTGTTAGAAATCTTTCTAGCTTTCAGAATGGTGGCGTTTCCTTGAAAGAGGCTAGCGAATGTCATCGTTCTGAAAGCTAGAAATATTTTGGCATTCAGTAGCTTTCCAGTGCTCTTCCATGGAAGACAACACTTCTGCCAGGCTACAGAAACGAGGCATGGATCTTTGGGAACTGAGCCCTGTTTCTGCAATCCAGCAGAGGGGCTGAGCTCCACTTGGCAGGCAACTCTTTCAGCCAGTCCTCAGAGATGAGAGGGAGTTTTCTCCAGCAGGCAGCAAGAACTTGAAATCTTCCCTGAAAGTTTCCCCATTGTCTTTCTGGGGAAGCCAGTAAAAAAGATTGCAAATGGTGCTCACATGATTGCAGGGTGCTTGGAAACTGATCATAATTGTGAACAGGTTGCCAAGTGCCTGAATTGTCATTTGAGGCTGTAGTAACTTCAACTGGTAGTTAAATGACCAGTTGTAAGTTGAGGGCTACCTATAAGGAAAGTAAGCATTAGAGAATGTAGATGCAGCTACGTACTATAACTAAAATAATAAAAGTCATAGACAGTTGATATGTATGTCAGAATTGTTACCCACAACTTTATATATAGGAACCTCTAATATACAATATTAAGCTTGAAAAAATCTCCAGTAGGGAATACTAAACTAGGAGGGCATAAAATAGGCTTACCCCTTTCACTGTAATTCCTGTGTACAATGTCCTTTTTATATCTTTTATTTCTAAACACTCCTAAAGAATTTTGTTGTTCTGGTTTTAAAATCTGGTTTTAAAAAGTTTCCATGACCCCAATGGAATCTGTCTTAAATGCAAACATACCAACTTTCACTTAATTTTGAAGGCGAAGCCATGGAATGTTTAGGAAGACTCTGTAGGTAGCCTATTTTAAAATTATTGTCTAACATCATAGCAAGATTAATCTGGAAAAAGGGGCCAATTACAGTCTAGTGCACAGGTCGGCAACCTGAGGCTCCGGAGCCGCATGCGGCTCTTTGAGCCTTCCCCTGTGGCTCCCAGCCTCCTCTGCCTTTGCAGAGAGAGACAGAGACAGAGAGAGGCAATTGCGCTTCCCTACTTCTCTCTCTCTCTCTCTCTCTCTCTCTCTCTCTCTCTCTCTCTCTCTCTCTCTCTCTCTGTGTATGTGTGTGTAAAAGAGAGTGCACTCACAGTGTTCTCCGAGGAGCTGAAAAGCTTACTGGGCGGAGCTCCTCCCTTTGCTGCGTCTCTACAGGAAGCAGGAAGGGCAGGAGAGAGCTAGCTAGCCCAGCTAGGCTGACTCAGGAATTCTGGGAGTTGCTAAGTCATAAAAGAGACGAGGTTGCTTACCCCTGAGCTTGTTGGACAACAGCTTGAAGCTTGCCAGGTGAGCAGCAGATAGGAGGGGGGGAGAAAGAGAGAGAGAGAGAGAGAGAGAGAGAGAGAGAGAGAGAAGAGAGAAAGAGAGAGGGAGGAGAAGAGAGAGAGAGAGAGAGAAGAAAGAGAGAGAGAAAGAAAGAGAGTGGGGGAAGAGGAGTGGCAGACCAAGGGCAGATAGAGAGGGAGGGAGGGAGGGAGAGAGACAGAGAGACAGAGAGACCCTTTTGACATCTAAAATGAAGATAACACTGCATATATCCTTTTTTTACCTGTGTGTATATGCAATTTTATTCTCTTAAAGCATTCTCTTGGTGATCATTGTTTTAATAGTATGGATATTCCCAAGAGTGATATTTTTACTTTTATTTTTAATGTGTGTGTGTATATATACACACACGCACACACACACATACACAAACACACACACACCTATAATAAAGGTAAAAAAGGATATATGCGGTGTTATCTTCATTTTAGATATCAAAAGGGTTTTGCGGCTCCCGGTATTTTGTTTTTGGTGGGAAACGGGTCCAAGTGGCTCTTTGAGTGTTTTGGGTTGCCTACCCCTGGTCTACTGTATAGGCTGAGTAAATATAAAGAAGGCGCTGAGGAGATAGCAAGAACAGAAGTAATTGCAATAGTGGTGAATATCTGTAGCTCAGGTGTAAGATGAGGGTGAAGGTTTGTTCTTTGAGCTTGTGGGTTGGTTTCTGAACGTTTCATTACCAGTGCTGTTAGCACTGACACTGACATCCCCTAAACTTCCCTGAAGATGTTACCTAGCCTGGTAATGAAACATTCAGAAACCAACTCACAAGCTCGGAGAACGAACCTTCACCCTCACAAAAGTAACTCTCTAAATCCAATCGCTTGCTGAGTCAGAAAGAAGTACTGCATACCTGATGGACCCAGATGCATCACCGGTACTTCTACTTGGTCCTGCTGGTGGAAGGGCTGAAGTGCTTCCATATTTTAGTTCTAACACAGGCGGCTTTACAGGTACAATGGGGCGAGGGATTCTGCTCCTTATATTTAAGCTTCTCTCCTCCATCTTTACCAGGGAAATTCTCTCCTGATTTCCAATCTTCCTTGGGGTGAAATCATCTGAATCATGAGTATCTTCCTCAGAACCAGTGGCTGACAAGGTTTCTGAAACCCGCTGCCTCTCATCACTAGAAGAAGCAGAAGATGACACTCCAGAAGCTAACCTTAACAGATGGCTTTGTCTTTTCTCCATCACCAGGCGGGCCAAATCCTGCTGTTTCAGTCTCTTGTATAGCCTTTCTTTCCCAGAGTGTGAGGCTGAAACATCTGATCCAGTGTCTTCTTCAGACAGCAACACAGGAATCCGGCTTCTATACCTTACATTCAGTGTTTTTTTGGAAGTTTCTGCTAGAATATGTGGAAGCAACTCTGCTTGTCTAAGGGATTCATTTGCAAGGGTTTTATTATCAAGGCCAGGTTCTTCTGAAATCAACTTACTATCTTCTTCCACATCTGATTCGGGAATAAGTTTGCTCTTAAGTTCTAGCTCTTCTTCTTCTTCTCCTCCTCCTCCCATTTTAACACCATTCAGGCATACCAGTTCCCCTGCAGCTTCAGAGGTGGTTTCAATATGATTCACTGAGAAAGCACAACTTTCCATCTCTCCTCCTTCCAAGGCTGAATTCACACTCCCATTTTCTATCAGTACCTGATTTTCCTCTAATTCTTCCTCAACAATTACCTCTTCAAACTGCCCTTGATTAGAATATTCCTCATGCCTCATAAGCTGGCCACTGGAAGACATGATGTTTAGATGTGTCTTTTCAGCAATATGGACAAATGTGCGTTCAACTTTCATAAAAGGGGAGGAGGTTGTGGCCACAGACATAGGAGGCTTTGGTTCAGACTTGAGGATGGAAGACAATGTTCCTGGCTCAGATACATCAAGCTGGCTTCCCATAGGCTGAGGTTTCTCACTTTGAGGAGTCAGTGCGGCAAGAGTCCCAAGATCAATATCAGGAGCCAAGTCTGTATTCACAGGAGACTTTTTCAGGTCACCTGGTGAAAAGAGAACTAATGTTTTTGAGCCTTCCTCAAGTTCCAAGTCTCCTTCTGCAGCTGATGCTCGACCCTTGGATTCTTTCTGGTCATCTGCTAAAAGTGTGGATGGAGCACCTTCCTGACTACGCTCAGTACTTTTTTGACTTACTTCACTGCTTGAATCACTTTGCATATCAAATTCTTCCCCTAAATGATCAAGTTCTTCCTCCTCCTCCTCCTCCTCCTCCTCCTCCTCTTCTTCTTCTTCTTCTTCTTTTTCCTCCTTTTCTTTGTATCTGCCATTTGCCACTTGAAGATGAGCATTAGGTGGTTTAAAAGGGGCAGTTAAGACAACATTTGAGAAATCCACTTTTTTTATTCGTTGGAGAATTTTGGATCTTTCCCTGTTTTCTGATACATCCCTTTTGAAATCTTGGTAAGGCAAATTTAAAGGCACCACCCTGGGGAGACCATTCATTTCAAAAGGTTTCAGTGGGAATACCTGGAAAAAGACATACAAAAATATTTGATTATCCAGAATGTTGAAACTACATAAGCAAGAAATTAGCCAGGAGAATTAAAACCACAAATGAATGGAGACCAAGAGCTGGGGACCCTTTCCTACCAGCTTTATATCACTGGGGGGCATCCGTTTGGACCCAGCAGCAAGTAGGGTCAGAGTGGAAAGTGGACCTTATCTCCTTTCACCCCTTCTTAGTCTTATATCTTTCTCTCTCTCTCTCTCTGGGGGAGAAATATTTTCCCTGGACGTGAATGTTACTTATGCAGGGCTTTCAAAAATATGCAGAGATCAAGAATCACAGAATTCCCCTTCTCAGTTTTGTCAAATAACAAGAATTTGTGAAGTTATGTTGGAAGAAAGATTCTGCAGGAAAAATCTGTATTCACCATAATGGCAAATCCCTTACCACATGATATTAATACCCCGCTTTAAAGCCCAAGGGTATCTTCTGGGATGCCTCAAGAACAGTCTGTAGAATTCCCCCTCATTCTTTTTCAGTATTCCATCTTCAGTATCCAGATCTAATACATATAGGAAGAAAGGAGAGGCAACTGCCTCCCATTAATCTGCTGCTGCTGCTGCTGCTGCTAAAAACAAAACCTGTCCTTCACCTCCTACTAGTGTGATGTCTGCTGAACACTCCTAAGAGGTAACAATGCAAAAGGTTATTATTCAGTAAATACCCTAGCAAGGCCCATGGGTCATCCTGTAAACAAGAAAAACATAACTGGAACAGAAAGAAAACCAGTATAAAGAGAATATACACAGTAAAGATAAACATTATATGGTTTCTAGCAACATACAATAGCAGAAGCAGAAGAGGTTATTTAATAAAATAAAAGGAAAGCTGTAGAAAAAAAACAGATGTCCAGGGATAGAAGAAACGTATATGACATTATTTTGAAGTGGAAATACTTTTATTTTAAAAATAAAATTGATGAATATCACATGAAATGAGTAGGAAGCAAATGTTACACAGGAAATCAGAACTACTTTCTGTATAGTTCATTAAGCATGAATTAGACAATAACAAAATTGCTTAATGTAACTGTGATTCTTCAAGTGATCATCTGTGCTTTCACATGTACAGATGATACACTTCTGTAGAAACTTTTTACAGCTACTTTCTACAAAATTTTATGAAAGTGTGCCCTGCATTGCATATGCTTCTAACACTGGCTCCAATTGTACTTTTCATGTCATATTACTGACATGACACTCCAGGAGCTCTAAGTATTTGATAGATGAAGCATCATCCAAAGGAGGTGAATTAATCATATTAATGCATATAACAGATACAAATGTTTTGGAATATACATATATAACACCTTTGGTTAGATGGACAGTTTTAGGATTCAAATATAATAAAATTCTAGTATCTCTAGAAACAATTATATCAGGAAGATATGGAATGGAATGTCTAAAAAAAGATTTTATCCTTCTCATGACCCTAAGGGGAAATTTGACATTAAAAATTGGGAAGATGGTGATGCAGAAAAATTGGATGAAAGGGAGAATACTGACTTTGGACCAATTGATGAGGATGAATTTTTAACATACATTGTGTTAAAATAGATGATAAAAATCATCTATCAGATGTAACTCAGTAGCAATATTTACAGCTGCAACATTTGTTAACATGGTATCAGCAACATTTTCAACTTTTAAAACATCCAAATTACTAGAACTTCTTATATATTTTAAAACTCAAAAACCTATTATTAGTTTATATAGATATTTGTTATCAATAAATGCACTTGATATAAGACATTAAGAGATGAATGAAATAATTAAAGTTCCTATATTACATAAACAATGGAAGAGTGTCTTCTATAGCAAGACAATGGACCTTAAGCTATGATTTATACAACAATAAAATAATATGAGCAGCGTGATGACATAGTGATGAAGATGCTCTCCTCCACCTGGAAGCTTGAGAGTTCAATCCTAAGTAGTGGCAGATGTTTCTCTGTTAGGGTGCAAAGAAAAAATATCTACCGTGAGCCCCACATGGCATCAGGAAGGGCATCTGGCTAATCAACACTCAGCTTCTTCCAGTCATCACAACTCTGTTCTGAATTAAGGGATTACAGGGTCATAAAAAGGAAGGGGTTTTTTATACAACAAAAAATAATATCTAGAATTTATTGGATTTGTATAGAAAAGGATTGTCTATTTTGTTGAAGATGTAATAAGAGCAGTGCTTCTTTAAAACACATGTTTTTACATTGTTCAATACTTATTAGGTTTTGGAAGAAAATAGTGAATTATATAAATGTGACTATGTAAGAAAATTTTCAGAGGATAATATTCTCTTCAATTATATTGTTAGTATATGGAACTGAGGAATGTAAATGGATTTCCCATGCCCTTTTTATAGCTAAACAATTGATATTGCAGCTCTGGAAAAATAAACATATGGCCCTATTTACTCAATGGACTGAAGATCTGTTTATACTTGCTACTAGAGCAGATTGTCTATAGACATGGATTTTGTATAAATAAATATAATGAAATATAAGTCTTATTTATATAAAATACAATAAGTTCAAAAAGATGATAGATAGATAGATAGATAGATAGATAGATAGATAGATAGATAGATAGATAGATAGATAGAACCCTTGCATGCTGTTTGCATTAGATAATTATTTATACAGTTGTAACTGTTTATTAAGAAAACCAAAATCATGGCATCCGGCCCTCTCAATTCCTGGCAAATAGATGGGGAAGAAATGGAGGTAGTGACAGATTTTATTTTCCTGGGCTCCAAGATCACCTTAGATGGGGACTGCAGCCAAGAAATTAAAAGACGCTTGCTCCTGGAGAGGAAAGCTATGGCAAATCTAGACAGCATACTAAAAAGCAGAGACATCACCCTGCCAACAAAAGTGCATATAGGTCCAGGCCATGGTTTTTCCAGTTGCAATGTATGGATGTGAAAGTTGAACCATAAGAAAGGCTGAGCGACAAAGAATTGAGGCCTTTGAACTATGGTGCGGGAGAAGACTCCTGCGAGTCCCTTGGACTGCAAGGCGTTCAAACCAGTCAGTCCTAGAAGAGATCAACCCCGACTGCTCTTTAGAAGGCCAGATCCTGAAGTTGAAACTCAAATACTTTGGCTACCTAATGAGAAGGAAGGACTCACTGGAGAAGGGCCTAATACTGGGAAAGATTGAGGGCAATAGAAGAAGGGGACGACAGAGAATGAGATGGCTGGATGGAGTCACTGAAGCAGTAGGTGTGAACTTAAATGGACTCCAGAAGATGGTAGAGGACAGGAAGACCTGGAGGAATGTTGTCCATGGGGTTGCGATGGGTCGGACACGACTTCGCAATTAACAACAACAACTGTTTATTGTTGTAATGAGATAGTTTGTTTTTTTGTATTTTTTCACTTATTTTTAAGCATATGGCTTTTTAAATTAATATATCACTGTATTTTGTTCAATTTGATTTCTTTTCTCTCATTATTTTAAAAACAAAACTTTAAGTATGAATGTGCTCTTGAATTATATAAAATATTTGGAATCTGTGGTATACTGTATAAGAATTATGCAAATACTGTACATAGCAGATAGCAAATAGTATAATAATTCAATGTGAGACAAACAGTGTTCTTCCAAAGATAGCATCTTTGGTTATCAACCTGAACTTACTTTCTTTGAATGAACTGACACTTTATCAGTGCAATGGAAAGACTAATTATTTATTTAAAAATCTGGCAGAGAGGTGCAATAAAATATGTAGTTTTCAAACATGAATATACAGTGACCACTTGAAAAACATAGATAACAACTAGTTCTCGTATCACATGTACTTGTGATTAATCTTGGGAAATCCCCAGCCAGACAAGGGGGAAGGATCAAGGAAGAAGTTAGCCTTGAGTCTCTGCATAGCCACAAGAGACTTAGGACTGACTCAGACACACACACACACACACACACACACACACACACACACACACACACCCTAAGTTCTGTTTGTTCCCAAAGGAAGGCAAGCAATCTGGGGAGATTCTTCTACTATAGGTAGAAGTCAATAAAGTAGTCAACTTGAACTTTTTACGTGCAAATCTAGTTGCTTGGGGCTGACAATTACCAAATAGAATTTGGAGTTGGGCAAAATGTTTAGCAAAAAAAGTTATATAAAATCTCTCCCTATCCAAAAGATGCTTTGGCTTGAACGATGAAGCATGGTAGATTGATGATAATGCTGTATCACCAGTTTATTTAACTTCAATACTGAACTATATAGAGGGAAGCAATGGAAGAAATCATAGCTGTGGTCAGTTTGTTCTGAGATGTATGTATGTATGTATGTATGTATGTATGTATGTATAATAAAACAGTGGAACCCAACAGTATATTCTATGTTGGTTTTTAATGTTTTTAATATATAGATACATTTAATGTATGTATTAATGCAATGTATAGATACATTTCATATATCTTATGAGAGCAAGATAGGCTTCAAGATAGTTTATAATGTATAAATAAGAAATTTGCTTATTTTGTAATGTTTAATTGTTCATAAATAAATAAGATATAAACATCTTATATATTATATATTATACTTAATATTATAAATAAAAGTTGTTCATCAGCTCACAATAGAGTAATTCTGTCTAAATACAGTGAGCAAAATAAAGGTAATCCTCATTTACCAATTGCCTCTTTTAGCAATTGTTCTCAGTTATGACAGTGATGAAAAAGTAACTTTATGACTTCATAGGTCTGCAAAGCAGAGGACAGCTGAAGTAAGCACAGCTGTTTCACTTAGAGACTGCTTTGCTTAATTATGCCAGTCCTAATTATGATCACTAAGTGAGGACTACCTGTACTGCAATGACATTAGAACATTTTTGATGTATGCCAATTGGTGTACATTCAAGTGACAATAAAGTTGTTGTTGTTGTTGTTATTTTTCTTGAGTCCTAGATTATTAAAAAAACATCTTTGGATTCAATGTCTGACAGG